ACACTAAGATCTTGTCAAGAGGAAAAAATTGCATCTCTATAACTCTTATATAAATACTCATACATAAATATACCATGAGGTTTTAATTAGAATTTAGTTTAAGTCATATAAATTGCAAAAATCGGTTTAAACTTGAAATGATTTGAAGCTCAAAGCAGAGGACTTGGACTTGATTTGGACTTATAGGCCAGTGACTCGAGACTCGACTTGGACTTGAGGTCGAAAACTTGAGACGTACTTAAGACTTGCAAAACAACGACTTGGTCCCACCTCTGCTGCCAGTAGATGATAAGCTGTACCCATTACACCAGACTGAGCACTGGGGGCTGTGAAATTACATGTTTGTTTGTTTGTTTTTTGCATTAGGAATTGCATGATGTAGAAAATAGTCAAAGACAGACCTGCTCTAAAGTGAACCACTGGAGTCGAGGCTTATGTTCTCACATTTGCTGGGTTGTAGGTTAATGGTAAATGGTCACATATTTACATCGCACCTTTCAACCTTAAAAGCTTTCAGTGCTCTTTACATCAAGGAGCGGCTCACCCACTCATACATCGGGGTGCACAGACACTCAGGCGAGGCAGTGTCTTGCCCAAGGACAAAATGGCAGTATCCATCAGTGGGAGCTGGAATTGCAGTAAATAAGTGTGCTACCAACTAACCTACCGCCACGGGAAATGGATGGAATAGTGTTGTGCTATAGGGTGAGAGTAGGGGTTATGGACGTACTGACAAAATATATGGTTTATATAAAGGATTTGTGTGTGATGTGGCTGGCAGTCTGTGATTTCATGTTTTGGCGGCCATACTGGAGGTCAAGACTGGGATTATTCAGTTTATTTCAATATAATCATGGCTACTTTAAACAGCACAAATGACTTAAAACTGTCCAAAATCGCCAGCTTGTTAGATCAGCCGTTATTAGAAAGGTATAAAGCTAAAGCAGGGGTGTGAAACTCATTTTGGTCCGGGGGCCGTATCCAACCTACTTTGATCCCAAAGGGGCCGGATCAGAAAACTCATGGCATATATACATATATAAAAATAGCAAAAAGTTCAAATATTTGTGCAGAGAAACCCAAATCTGTTACAGAAAACTTTTTTAATTGATGAACTCTTTCTTTTACAAAATATTATAATATTATGAACAACCTGAAACTTTAAGAAAAATGCAATAATCAACACAATGTTTTAACATGAACTTGTATGCAAATGGAAATAAGTAAATTTTTTTGGAAAATCCTGCACTCTGCGTCTACTTTTCTCATTTTTGACTTTTTGCTGATGAGGGGACATGGTCAACAGTCAAAACGATCGTCCTTTAAGAGCGTTTGGAAAGAGACAAGTCTTCATTTGTGCAGCTCTGGTGGGAGGGGCCACGTACAGAGACGCTGGAGACGCTGCTATGCTCAACACCGCAGAAAATTACCAATATTTTAATAGAAAATATCATTAAAATATTTTAGTAGAAAATCAGCCGAGGGCCAGATTAAAGGTCTTGGAGGGCCGGATCTGGCCCCCGGGCCGTATGTTTGACACCCCTGAGCTAAAGTCATCCTCCTGGGTTGTGGAATAGATCTCGATGTAATTCTAGTGGAGCGCTTTGTCAGTCTAATCAACGCTCGCTCTGTGCCCAACCTTTAGTATCCAGATATTTACAACGACTTAATATCTTCGACATCGTCCTGCACCAACCAAGAACTGAAAACCTACAAGGGGTTAATCTTTTTAATCCGTCCCGCCGAACTTGAAGAACAATAATAATAATTTTCAGTGTTTTAAAAGTCATTTCAGTAAATAATAAATGCCGTGGGACTTGAAAGACAGATATTTTGTTGTAAAGCTTTGTAATGATTTTCAATTATGGGATATATGTAGAAAATATATCCTATGTTATTTTGTTCTCTTAAGAGGTGGATTACCAAAAAACTCCATCCATCTCCTCCTGGTCTGACCCTTCTGTCAAATTTTAGAACCCTTCATAGCCCATGAATCAAAAAGTTTGCCCACTTCTGGATTAGAAGCATGTAAATATTTTGTAGCAGGATGTGTGAGATCTTTGTTGATCACCAAATCATCAAATCTGTTCCTGATAACAGCCAGGGGAAGTAGAATGGAGGTCAAAATCAGAGCCGGAGGGACCCGGGATGGTGGAAATAGACGGCCGGGGTGGGGGGGATTCTGTGCCAGTATACCGTAGAGAAAAATACTTTTGGTATATATCATTTCATTTACTGTAAATCCCTTTATCGTTTGTGTGGAGGTGGTCCGTCACCAGAAATGAAATGTTGACTGCACAGACGACTGTACTCAGTGGGCTCCCAATCCCTCTCTTTTTATGTCCGCTATCCACCTCTGTCTGCGATCTTTATCCGATAGAAAGATATTTTGGCCTCCTTCTTTAGCAGATTGACTCTGGCCAGAACATCCAGTAGCAACATAGGTCAAAACCATTGTTATTCATTTCAAATTTTATCACACAGAAATACTACACGTTGGTCCAGATGGATAGTTTGACCTCCAGTATGGCGACATAAACACCAGATCACGTGATTTTGTGACGTAGACGCAAATCTCAATATGAAAAGAGGCGAATGTAACAAGTATTTATCTGCACAGTCTACACAATTCTTGTTTTGATTTTGCTGCCTCATTAAAATGAACGGGATAGAATGCTTATACAGTGCCAGAGTGTGTGCGCAGCTATTTTAACCACGTCACTCCTGGAAGCGTCTATAGGAGGCAGTGGCTGTGCTGCTGTGGCGTGGGGAAAAGTATACAGTACGTGCCAGATGGTGGAGTGCAGTTTTATGCAAATACAGTACAATCAGGCTCTGCCCTCACGAAAGGAGCAGTAAACTCCACTATTTCAGTCTTCACCAATGCGCACTCAAACAGAGGAAAACATGAGCAAAGCCTAACGCTGTTTTTTTATTCGAAAACATGACGATTGGAGAGTAAAAAACTGAAGATGGTGATCAAATGGAGCGGACTTTTCATGAAACCAACAGCATGTAATCCAATAAAGGTTCACTGTGTAACTTTCTAGTGGAGGGTGCATCACCTGTTTGTTTCTACGGATATGTCATTGCTCTTTGTGGCATTAAACAGCTCTACCTTACATTTATTTTATTTATTACAAGTGGTTTTATAGCTCAGAAATACTCTAACTGTGAGCGGGATTCACTCTCCACAGATCTGACCTGTAACTTGGTCTGGTTTGGTCTCCATGAAGATAGAAAGGGTTAATACCATACTGCGAAACATTCCAGACAAAGCAATAACATGTTCATGGAGAAAATTTGACAGACCCTCCACCAGAAAAGTTACGCAATACACCTTTAATGGATGTCCCTGTTTTTAGTATGTGAGTCTTTATTTTCTTCTTAGATTTTAGCTTTTTAGAATTGACTTGAACTAAATTTTGTAATTTATTCCTGGTTAAACACTATCATATTTTACGGGCTATTAGGCGCTCTGGATTATAAGGCGCACTGTCATTAAATGGTCTATTTTTTAACTTTTTTCACAAATAAACCGCAAATATTTGCAGTAACTGTATAAAGTGTTTGTTGATTTTACAAGCAGTTCCTCAGTTCGCCCCATGCATTTGACCCATTATTCAATAGTGACCATTACCAGACCTTGTGGTACTCTTGGTCATGATAACCTTAGCTGTACTGTACATGTTTAAGTTGATGTGGGAAACTGGAGAGCCTTGAGGACACAAACCCAGAACTTTCTTTCTGTGTGGGCCACTCCTGGACAAAAGGATTAAATTGAGTCTACAAGACCAAGGTCCTCACAACAAAGAAAATATATATCCATTGGTGTATATGATTTTACTGAGGAAAATATATAAACGGCCATCTTACATACCTCCCTTTTTCTCCAACACATGAATTCATAATAATAAATGTCTGCCTTCTTTAAATACACCACAGACTTACTCAGAGACACACCTTCTCTCTGGAGCAGTGAGTGTGCTGTAAGGTTTTTTGCTCTGTGCTGATGTCCCCCAAACGTCCTTGTGCGAGGTATGCCTCTGCAAAATGTATGCTTTAAAGTCAGTATTCCACAACTTAAGGAGTCTCTGTGTGTTTTGTGCTGAAGCCCTGTCCACTGTCCCTGTGTGTCAGCCTCAGGAACCTCCTGTTGTGAGATGAACCACTGACAGAACAGAAAAGGTTTTCTCAGAAACAGAACACAATACTTAAGACTGAGATGAATTACCTTCTGTTTTGGGGATTTTTTTCTGTTGTAAATGTTCTTGTTTGACAGTGGGTCAATCAGAATATGAGCTTTCTTCATCATATTGAACATCACCAAATCAGTGCACCTCCTTTTACAAGACCAAACCCTTCAGGGAGTTTCATCTGAGGAAAAAGTGTCATGTTAACTGGAAACTTCAAGACACCTTTATAATCTAAATGATCTTTGGAACTGCTAAGGTTGTTCCTGTTACGGCACAGAGATTATGCTATTAAAATAACTTTATGCATTACCCACATATTTATCCCATTCAGTACACTGCTATAAACTATGCATATAAATGCACTAAATAATAAAACATTTGAATAACCAGATTTAATCTTTATATAATATAATGTTTAATTGCAATGAATTATACCAGAGGGGGTGACAATAAAAAAGTTATACACTGCCAGTCAAACTATGACTGGACACATAATGGAATGTATAGAAAACATTTGCTTTGAACCCTGGTTTGCACTTGTTCTTGACAAGGCACCTGTGAAGTGAAAATCGCTGTCAACAAACAAATGGTGGCTACTTTGACGATTTGCTACATAATTCCATATATCTTCCTTCATAAATTTGATATCTTCTGTTTGTACCAGAATTCAAAGAAGTAAACATAAAGGAAAAAATAGAAACTTTTGACTAGTGGTGGATATTCACTTTCTCTTTCTCACTTTCTCAGTGTAATAATACTCTGTCCTCTCTCTCCTGTCTGTGTCTGGTTCTGTTCCTGCTCCAGACAGCACAGCCAGCCTGGTGTCCCGCCGGAGGGAGGGCTTCTCTGGGCAGAGGGAGAGCCTCTTCAGCCTGGTGCTGGTGGTGTCCGACGGGGGAGAGCCTCCTCTGAGCAGCACGGCCACACTGCACATCCGCGTGTGCGTGTGTGAGAGGAACAGCAGGGGGCGCTACGGAACCAACGTTTGCCAGGCTCAGGCCTTCCTCTCGTCCGCTGGCATCAGCACTGGGGCATTTGTGGCCATCCTGCTCTGCGTTGTCATATTACTGGGTAAGTCTTATGTCTGAGTGAGCAACATAGATGTATGAAGAAGTGAACTAAGGGAGCGATGTCACCCATAAACACAGACTGTATATATGAGTGGACTTTGCTAGGAAGTTCTCCAGGAGGCTCTTCCGGCTCTTTCTAACTCTGGCTCCAATTTACTTACATTGAGATCTTGTCGTCTCTCTCTCTCTAACTGCTGCAGTGAGCCTCGTCATTTTGGTCTTAAAATGTTTGTATTAACCCACTCTACATGATCCTGAATTTCTTTATTTGCTATTTTGTCTGTCAAAAAATCCTATTCATAACATCCGGCTCTAGATTCACTCCTGTAACCATAATGTAAGAATCTGAGCGGCGCTGAAAGCTATGGGTGATGTCACACTCACTTAGTCCACTTCTTTTATACAGTCTATGCCCATAACCTTTGGCTCTAGTCAAATGAAGCTCACTGAGGCCTGCAGTTATAAGGTTAGGGTTAACCCCTTCCTACACCACTGGTTTAGCAGAAGCAAGGGAAACATTTTAAGACTAAAATGACAATATAAACAATCAACCTTAACAGATTAAAGACCAGAAGACCTGTTCCATCACTTGGTCCACCTGGTGGATGGCCCTCCACCTGCCCTCTGGTGGAATGTACAGGTCCATACAGAATAACCTGACTGACTTCCACCATCCATAACCTTGATTGATTAATTGATTAGTTTTTATTTCGATTGATTTGATTGATAACCTTGAAGTGGACTTTGCATTGTTGAATCACATTAAAACACAAATGTGACTTTCTGTCCCAGTGATGCACTTTAATGTTGATTTATGCTGCTCCTACTGATACTGTTCATTACATACACTACCAGCCAAAAGTCTGGGACACCATCTCATGTGTTGTTCACGCGTTTTTTTACTATTCTATTAGATATATACAGAAGAAATAAAACATATACTTGATGTACTTGACTACTTCTGTATGTATAAAAAATGTAGAAAGCAGTAAAAAAAAAAAAAAAACATGAGTGGGTGTAGTGTATCTGCTGCACAGAATGTTTTTAATTGTGCTTAAACTGGTTCACCCTGGCATAGCACTTTACATTAAAACTATTCTTTGAAAGTATTTTTGTAAAGCCCAAAACCACAACAGCAGTTTCCTCTCAGATCATTGATTCAACCAGCAGAGAGTTAGAAAATCCAAGAGAGAAACAGACATTGGTCAATAAGAGACAGATTAAAGGTGCACAGTGTGACTTTTCTGGTGGAGAAACTCAATCACAGATCATCTTATTCACACTCTGTTTTGTTTCTCTTCACTGCAGCCATCGTCATACTCTTCACCCAACTGCGCCACAAGAAAACCAGCAAAGACAAACTCATTCTATCCGAGGAGGACATCCGAGAAAACGTGGTAACCTACGATGACGAGGGCGGAGGAGAGGAGGACACGGAAGCGTTTGACATCACCGCGCTGCGGAACCCCAAAGCATCTGAACGCTATCCCAAACTCCACCGATACTACGACCACAGCCCTTACGAGGACGAGGAGACGGAGGAGGACAGCGAGGATGGAATCGTGATCGTGCGACGCAGAAAAAGATCGAATTTCAACCGCGACAGCTACAGTCCCGACTCGGAACCTTCGTGGTTTGTTGTGGATCACGTCCCGAGAGACATCAGCCAGTCGGCGCCTTCCCTGCTGTTGGACGGTCACGATATCGTCCAGCAGATTCTTCACCGGAAAGTAGCTCAGGCGGACTGTGACACCAGAGGACCTCCGTACGATTCGCTCCAAACGTACGCCTACGAAGGGAGAGGGTCGCTAGCGGGATCTGTCAGTTCACTCGGTCTGACGCTAGATTCTTTCCCAGAACTAAGCTACGCCGATTTAGAAGACTGGGAGCCGGACCAGCAAGTTCTAGAGCGGATTATCGGAGAACAGGATGCAACGGACTCCTAAAAGTGCACAATCTTTTATATATGTTCTTTGGACGATTTTGCTGCAGATTTTGTTGAAAACAGGGCGCAAAAGGTTAAGACGAATGAACACTGCAAAAAAGGAGGCTACATGAGTTGAAATGGTTTCATTTCAGAACACAAATTTTTGTTGAAAAAGTGAGCATCAAACTGCCATGTTTGATTTGCCAGTTGGATGCGTCTGTTGTTTCTGGTTCTGATATTGTCATATTTTAGTTATGGGATTTGGACATCGTAATTGTGTGGTTGTTGGATCCTAACAGCGGAAAACAGCTCAAGAAATGGGCTTCGGAAGTTTGCGAACTCCATAACTGCAAAGGAGAATCAGCTCTGTGTGACTGCAAACCTCTGTTTAAACGGTTTCCCTTCCCAGCAGAATTGAAAAATAGTGAAATGCGAAGGCGATGGGCAGGTGATACACAGGAAGGACCAAATAGGAAACCTCTGACTGCCTAAGAAATCATCCCAAGTTTGCCGTGAACATTTTGTACGTGGAGCACCATCAAAGCAGAATCCTGATTCCTCGCTCAATCTTGGTTATGAATTTAAAAAGTTAACGCCAAAGCAAAAGGCACCAGTTGTTCACCAAGAAACACCTTCCACTGCAAAGCGACCAAGATGTCGAACAAGAAAGTGTGAGCTCAGCCTGTTTGTCTTGTGTACCTCTCGCTTAACAAATGACATCCCGCTTTGTTGGCGCTCCACATACAAAATGTTCGCTGCAAACTCGGGATAATTTTATTGGCAGCCAAAGGTTTCCTTTTTCGTCCTTCCTGTGGATCAATACTGCCCATCGCCTTCGCCTTTGACTATTTTTCTTTTCCATTCGGAAGGGAAACCCGGAGGTTTGCAATCACACAGATCTGATTCCTTTTTGCAGTTACGGAGTTGGCAAACTTCCGAAGCCCGTTTTAGGACATACAACAACCACACAATTAGAATGTCCAAATCCCATAATTAAAATATGACAATATCAGAACCAGAAACAAATCGATATGGTTCAAAAGACTTGAAAAGATCGACTTTGACAATAGACGCATCCCACTGGGAAATCAAACATCCCGGTATGCATTGTGAATGTTTGAAATTCGTGATGCATGTATTTACTTTGGAATATTTTACTAGTGTCGTTTTAGCACTTTTTTTTATTTCTAGCATTATTATTTTCTAGTCAACTTAAGGTCTTAATGGAATTTTCTGCACCGATGATGATCAAATTAGAAAACCTTGAAACAGCACATAAACAAGAAGCCAAATATTGAAACTTGTTAAAAGGATTAATCTTCTGAACTGAAGTCATGTTTCATAATGTTGGTATTCCTTTTTTGCAGTAAACATGAATCAGAGCACAAGAAAAGCCATTTCTATTGATCCTCAAAAAGACGTTGAGTAGCTGAAGTTGTCTTTTGAATACTGTTGTTTTCTCTGTGCTTGTTTGGTATTTTTTATAAAATAAATAAATACATTGTTAAACAGATTTTGTCAGGTTTACCAGGTTGTTACAAGTTTTTATGATGGATCATGTTTTTTCTACATGCCACAAACTGAATTAAAAAATAATAAATTGGTATGCAAGCCCTTTTGAGAGAATGTTAAAGGTATGTCAAAATTTTGTTTACAATTTCATAAACTTGACCTTTCTGTATCCGCAGATACGAGCTAAATGTTCAAATCAAATAGAGCTTTTACTGATGACAGTAAATGCTGCTGTAGTGAAGGACAGTGTCTCAAAAGTTTGTGTGTACCTCCCCCATGTGGCCATTCAGGGTATTACCGCCAGTGACAGGAACGACACAAAGCACAATACCACAGTTTTGGTTGAACACAAGTGATATCTCATTAAATAGTAACAGACTTTGGTTTAAAATAACCACTGAAGAGCACCTAAGCTTTTTCATAATAAATGAATTCATTCATGTTTGCATTTTTTTTGTGAGTAGTCTAATGCATTTGTCCTATTCTGTCAATGCAACCAGACAAAAATGTCAGAAACTAAATAAAAATGTATAAAACTATGACAAATTCTATATTTTTAGATGAATAATAAAGGGGAGCTGATGAAGGTCCAAGCTCCTATGGTGAAAAAAAAACTTACATGTATCATTTTCTTTATTTTATTAAAGATTATTATTATTCTTTTATTTATTATTATTATTTATTTATTTTTTATTTTTTTATTGCCCAAGACGTATGGTAGCAAAATGTTTTTAATGCCACTGTTTTGTATGTATATGTACTGTGCTGGATACGACAGCTGTTTTGTATTTTGAAACAGCTGACAGAATAACTGGCAGGAAAACAGGCAAATTATTATTATTGTTTTTATTATTTAAATGGTTATAATAAATTACTTAATGATTATAAATATTTTTTTTTTTTTTTTTTTTTTCAGAAATTATGTTTGTATCTTTCCTTTTCCTAACGCCTAACCTGAGCTGGGTTTTGTGTCTGGCGCCCTCTGCTGGTCATAGTGGTGAGTGACATAAGAAATAAAAACTCATCTGTCTGAAATGAAAATCAATCAATTAGTCAATGAAATATTATATTTTTGGACTGATGTGGCCACTATTTTGCAAATACTGACAAAACAGCAAAATTAAAAAGGTCCTTGCCTCCCCCTGGCTATTTGTGGAGTTATTTAGAGAAATTACTAATCTTTTTTTTTGTTTGTTTGTTTTTCATTAATTTGATCAAAATCACTAGTAATATTTAATGGTCATGCTGAATTTTTTATGTATTAATTTTGAATAATTTGAAGTTTGTCTTGTCTAATCTATTCACAGTCCAATGAAAGCATAATGACGGATAGAGCATATGACGCCTGTTCCTGGTGTATATTTTTATCAAAGAATAAAACACATTGCAGAAAGCTGTGTGTGCCAGAGCTTTTTTAAAAAATCATTTTCATGTATGTATTGTCCTTTTTTAGTGAACTGTGGCATTGCGTTATTATACCAAAATGAATGTCTTGTGGTACTGAGTGGTTTGATCAAAATGTTATGTTCACATGTAATAATAATAATATTGATTGAATTTTATTCAAATAGTCACGTTTTCCCTTCACTTTTGTCTAAAACAGGACTGTAGTCACAGTGTCTTTTAGTGCATTCTTCTGGCAAACTGCAACAACCGCAGTCCCATTATCATTTGTTGTTTTGCCCAACTTATAACCGACAACTGACAACCATAGCTGGCTCAAACAGCGGTGAACAAACCCATTTCATCATCCACGGAATCAGACATGTGCAGCGATTCCTAGTCAGAGCGTATGTGCAACCAGAGACAACAGCAGTGCTAACTTTCAACACAAGTGTTTAAAAATAATTTGCTTTTAGCAACAAGTCATTGTAGTTTCATATTTATAATGATTAGATATTAGTTAGAAATAGGGTTTGCGTGACTAGTAAATATTTGTAGTCGACCAGTCGATTTGACTCCGACTGTCAGTACATCATCAGTAAAAAGTTAGCCCAAATAATGCAATAAATTTGCAATTTATTATAAATTGTTAATGTGCAAAGGGGAATCCTTATTTAAGGAAACATAATACTAATTTTAACAACAATAATAACAATATAATAGCATTTAAACTTTTCATGTGAACAACAGGGTACTGGCACCTTTGCGCATGCACGTAAATTCTGCAGGACTCTTGCTTTGGCTGAGTTTTTTTGTTTGTTTTACTGTCAATGTTTTCATGAAGAAAGATGAGACTGTTGTACTGTTTGGCAGCAGTGTTCACAGCGAGCAAAAAGATCCTCTCACTGGGTGTGCTTGTAGCTGGAACAGCAAGGTTGGCTTTGGAGAGCTTTGCCAAACAGGGAAAGCACTTCTGATGGCTGGCAGAAGGTAACCCATGGTGGAAATGTGGGGCAATAATAAATATTGCTTGACCTTCTCATCTACGGTGTTGATAAAGATTTTTTCCCGTGTTTGGAATGAGTGGGTCCCAGGTGCCTATAACAAACATTTTTATACATGAGCTTTGTTCAGGACACTAGTAAATAAGATTAATAGTTTACAGTCATAATAATTATGCGTAAAATATGCAGTGTGCTTCTCATGTTTTCCCACCCAATATATTATTATTATACAATATGTTAAATTGTATTTAAATATGCAACATTACAATTTTATCTGAATGTAATAAGCCTCATATATATATATATATTTAAAAAAAATGTGTTTCTCACCTTCCACGGTGGTAGGTCTCTCTCACCCTCATTGAGCTCGGGTCCTGGGAGCTTGAGAGTTCTGCGCAGTATCTTTGCTGTTCCCAGTACTGCACTTTTCTGGACTGAGATGTCCATTGTTTTTCATATATATATATATATATATATATATATATATATATATATATATATATATATATTTATTTGTGGTGGTGCCTCTCCATGATCCGGGAGCAGCAGCGTCTTCAGGTGGCTTGAGGTGCTATGTTGAATTCACACTGTTTTCTCTTGTGTCTTTGTCACAAATATGTTCTGTTCTTTTGGACAAAATGTTGTGTTGAATCTACACTAAATACACAAGAACATACAGAGTGTGTAGGATTTACACAATGGAATAGTGGACACTTGTTGCACATGACTCATATAAAAAATGTTGCCATGGTTTATGTTAAATGAACAGTTTATTGGTGTCTGTGTCCAACATGAATAAAATGTGTCCAAACCCCACAGTGTGTTTGTGCACAGGAGTGAAACATGCTAAAGCTACACATGAGTGAAACATACAGTGGAGGAAATAAGTGTCTGATCACTTGCTGATTTTGTATGTTTGTATACTGACAAAGAAATTTACAGTCTATCATTTTCATGGTAGGTTTATTTTAACAATGGTTTTCTTAGTGACTGTGGTCCCAGCTGTCTTGAGATCATTGACCTGTGGAGTTCTAGGTTGAGTTCTCATGATCACTGAAACCCCAGACCAAGGCTGATTGACGGTCATTTTGTAGTTCTTAGATTTTTCAAACAATTGCACCAACAGTTGTCTCCTTAACGCCAGCTTCTTGCTTATGGTTCTGTAGCCCATTCCAGCCTTGTGCAGGTCTACAGTCTTGTCCCTGACATTCTTTGACAGCTCTTTGGTCTTTCCCATGTTGGAGAGTTTGTAGTCTGATTGATTGACCTTCAAACAGGAGTCTAATTCTGGTGACAAGTTGATTAGGAGAGTCTAACTGGTCTGTGGGAGCCAGAACTCTTAATGGTTGGTAGGGGGTCAAATTCTTATTTCCTTCACTGTAGTACTAAATGTTAATATTGATATGAGCCTTAAAATGTCAGCCTCTTTTGGCAGATACACAGAAGCTTTTCATAACAGCCTTCGTCATTCCAGGTGTTCCCGGTGCCTTTGGTTTCAACACAGAACTCATCATTGTAACTGTTATTTGGCTCTCCACTGTACCAAAATCTGAAAGTCATTAAATAAGAGCTTAAAAATCACTTCTGAAACTCAATGTTGGTTTAAAATGTTGCTTTGTGAACCTTGTGTTGAGCTGAGATCCGTCCACCCATCTCCACTGTCTAGGTTCAGACTGGGTTGCAGTCAGTCCAATCCATCGGCGCCCGCTGAATGTACTCGCAAATGTCTGTAGAAACAGTTAAAGCCACATTCAGGGACCTGAAGTTGTCAGCTGTCAAAAACAAGCATTTAACCTCAATAACACATGATTCATTTCTCTGGGACTCACACCAAACTGGCGAGTGAATTACAACAGGCTCTGTGCACAACAGTATACAGTTAGTTCTGGTCTCTGGGAACTCTGTTTTTTGCAGAGTGGCTCTAAAATCAATAAATACTGACAGGTCACACAGTGGACCACACGCTGTGGGTGGATGACAATCACATGTGAGTATTTCACCAGGGGACACTTGTGTTTCGAAAGGTCGATTTTACAAATTAAACGCTACAAACTGAAATAATCTACACAGAAACATAATCAGTTGGATGTGTGGTCTCCAGACCTGCTCCTGGTCACTGTTGATGATGATGAGATCTGCTCCTCTCTGCTGACAGTACTGCCGGCTCTCCTCCCAGCTCTGCTCTATGGTGGAGCCCAGGTACACACTGCCTTGGAAATACACCCAACCTTTACTCAGATCATCTTCTGAAAAAGAAATAATATTCATTCAGAAATGTTTTAACTGACCATCATCTTTAAAAATACTAAAATAGTGAGCAATTATACTCACTGAAGTTTTGCACTTTAAGTTTCAGTTCCTCGTTTTCTGCAGCTTTTCTTTGTTGCACTTGAAAGAAAAGGAAATATGAAATAGAACTGAAACCTGGGTAAGGGTTGGTCTTGCAGTGGCATTATGGTTAACCTTAATTTAGCAATGGAGGAACAGAGTTGCAAAAAAAAAGCCACACATGGTAAATCAATACATGAACCCTTTCCAATGATAGACAGCTAGGTAAAATGATAAAAAGCAAACATTTTTAACAAATAAAGTTGCTTTTGAGAATGCAACAAGTGTGCAATCACATTCCTGTTTAGGATCAGTATCTTGCTAAAGTAAATATATAGATGATAAACAATAATGTTGAAACTACTTTTTACCACTGACAGAATAACCCTAGAGCAAGAGAATCCAATACAAGAAAAAAAAAGATGTAATATTGAACGTAAATCACCCGAGGACAGTGTTGTCAGATCCAATTATTGCATCTTTTTCAGAGCTGTTGTGGGTGGAAGATATTGTCCATATGCTGGGCCAGAGCTATTTTCCATGTGTTAAGAATATTTGAATTTACAGACAAATCGTCATGCCCAAAGTCATCAGTGCAGAGTGTGTGTGTGTCTTTGAGTGTGTGACAGAGCAGGGGACGGGTCTGGGTCATCACAGAAGCACTATTTACATAATTAGAAAATACAGCAGTGCCATTCATTTGACAGGTTTTAAGCAGATTTTCACTCTTCAGAGCTGGACATTTGCAGGTGAGGAACTAACTAACTATGATCTGGGACTACATTCACATTTAAGTATCACTATTCTAGTCATAATGCATTTCTAACTGTACTGAAGTTGTGCACATGCAGATCCTGTCATGTACGTTATACTTACAGGACTGATGGTTGGATACTTCTCGTTGGCAGGTTCTCAAGGCTGAAATAGAAATTGTTTCAGTGGTTTTATCAACCGGGTTTGACCAAAAAGTATAATATTACTTACAGGAAAGAGTCTTCTCTATCTCGTCTCTTTTCTGGGAAAGGGTTTGCTGATTGCTTTTGAGGGCTGAAAATCAACATTCTGTCTTATTAATATGAATGGGCAGACAAATAAAAACATACATCTCATTTGACATTTGAAACTGGTGTAATGGTTTATCTGGGTTCAAGGTCCCAAGCTCAGACCTCCCAATATGTATTCTTCACAAGTTACATGAGACTGAAACAGAAATTGTTGTCATGGTTTTACAAATTGGTTTTGACAAAAAAAAGTGCAATATTACTTACTGGAAAGAGTCTTCTCCATCTCGTCTCTCTTCTGGGTCAGGGTTTGCTGACAGCTTTTGAGGGCTGAAAACCAACATTCATTCTGATTCATTTGAACGAGCAGACAAATAAAAACTTGCATTTATTTTGATGTGAAGCTGTTGAAATGGATTGTCTGAGTTCACAGAAGGGTCAGTTCAATAGACAGTGACCAAATCAAACCTGCTCACCTTCATTCACATCGACAGTGCAGATTTACTTACAGGACTGATGTTTCTCTAACTGATTTCTTGTGTTGGACAGAGACTGCTGACAGTCTTTGAAGGCTGAAAAAGACCAAAAAAGCATAGGCGTGAAGAAATAATTTTGTTTGTGTCTCATTACATGTATTCTTGTTTTGCTAATAAAAAAATTTAGAGTAAAAGTTAAAGAGATTTACGTTTCTCAAGTGTGTCCCTCTCAGCAGTTACATTGTCACATGGGCTCATGTCGATGTCTGGAGGAAGGTCTACAAATCCAAAAGTGATTTATTTCTTTGTGGCTGTGATTATTAATATTGTTTTACTTCATTATGTGACTCACAGAGACGTAAATAAACATTGAGAGAAGCTTGTATGATGCACAGAAGACCAAAGCTGATGCAGACCAGGAGAATCCATTTCCCTACAAACATAATGTTAAAGATCAGAGAGGAAAGAACATTTTAAATTCCTATACTACACAAATTGACTTTGTGAGCTTTAAGCCATGTTGTTTCCTCATTATAAACATACTTAAAGTTGTGTTTTGTTTCATTCACACACAGGACAGCACCTTTGGGAACAGGCTGCTGTCCCACACACATCCCTTTAACTGATAAAAGCAAAAGGATGAACTGCTATGTTGTTATGTTTGTTTTATTGTTGCGCCTGCCGAAATTTAAATTTCCTCAGTAAAGTCTCTATCTATGTTTGTGTGAACCTGAATTATTAGTTTACATGTCCAAAGCTCCAAATGCTCTGTTCCACCTGGTGATGTCGTGGGAGTTTTCATCTTAACAGCTTTTACCTTTAGTTCATTAGAGATTGACAATTCCAGGTCTGAAATCATCCAGTTTTACTCAAGTGAAGGTGTATGGGGATTAAAAACACAGTGGGGCTCTACCTGGATTACCACATGACATCACAAGGTGGAACAGAGTGTTTTCAATTTGAGAGAACTCAGCTTAAATATGCAGCATTTGTGTGTTAAATATGTGTGTGAATGCAACAGAACACAACTGTGTGTTTTTGATGAGGATACAACATTATAACAGATCAGAAAATAGAGTAATATGGGCCTTTTAAATAAAGTCTTACCTGGTTCGGTGGCAGTCTGTGAATCAGAGACACTTCCAGAGTTTCTCCTGTTCCTTTTGACATGAACCCTGTGCTCCTCCATCTTCTCTCTGCAGACTCAGGTCTGATATAAATGTGAGCTGGAGCTCTACAGCACAGATCTTTGATGCATTACTTGTGAGAAACATATTACATGTGTGTTTCTCATGTGTTTTTTTTTCTGGTTCCTCATTTCTCGTTTCTAAGTAGATAGTGGCATTCAGCAGTACATTACATCACTCTGAGAGGTGCATGCTACAACAGACCTAACAAGAATCATTTTCAGTATCTCCTTAGACAAATGAAAGTTCAGTTATCATTATTGTTTTTCAAAAGGGCCAATGACTTTTTATTTTTACTTTATCATTTGAATGAATAGGTCTTGTGACTAATGTTTTGCACCTGTTATCTTGCATTTTAAAATGTTTAAAATGTATGTATGCTTTAAATAAATTAATTAATTAATAAGATTATAGAAATAAATATACAAAAGCATGATACAAAACAATACACAACAATTTCACAAACCTGATGTGATGGAAGTAGTTCCATTATAAAAGGGGGAGTGACTTGATTTGAATAGCAAGTGGAGGAGGGACTTAGAGCAACAAACACAAAACAACATTTCAAATTTCAGGTCTGCCTTTGATTCATGTGGCTTTCATTATCACTGGAACATTGACAAATTCCATCAGTTTTTGTCTAACAGAAACTCTTTCAAGGTTCAAACTGTTGAATAAAGTTTCAGCAGTTGCTGTCCCTACAGGGACACTACAGTGTCCGTGCGTCAGCAGTGTACACTGTTGTTGATCAGGTGCTTTAATCCTGCTGTTCAATCTGTGCTGGAAAGCACTCTGCCATTTCCATTTGCGGGGTTCTCTTGTGTAACAAAAACTGCTTCTCAAAAGTGAGTGTGAAAGGAGGAAGGAGAAGAGGAAGAGGAAGGGGGTATTTAAGTCTGTCTAACTCGCCCTAGATTTCACAATGACTTTTATTAGACAGCAAAGTGAAACAAAGTGAAACAGTTAATGGTGCTTTCACTTCTTACTTCTGAGTTAAAGAAAAATAGTTTATTGTTATCTACAGAGAGCAAAAAAATGTTCTGCTTTTACAATATACCTTTTAGGTAGAAACAATACACACACACACACACACACACACTGGTCAGATGAACAAACTGCATTTCAATGCACTGTACCTCCACAAAGATAATGCAATGACAATAAACTGAATCAGAATCTCATCAAAAATAGACCTGGAGTTTTATTTTTTTTTGTTTTTTTTTTTTGAGACAGGGACAGCACATAATTCTTACATTAA